AAAAAGTAACAAAATTAGAGATTAGAACTTAGAGAAAACAGACAGAATTTCCCCTTTTTTATGCAGATACAAAACCCTCAAAACACTCAGATTAGGAACAACTAAACTAGGGTTCCAACACCCACCATTAATCGAACGAATTCTAGTGATTATTACCTAGAATTAGACCTCCAGCTCCAGCTAGTAGGCTAGATGAATTCGCACACCTAAAGCCCTAATTTATGGACACCTAAGGCCATCTCCAACCGAGGGCTGGCCAGAGGGCTCGTTTGAGCCCTCTGGCCCTCCAAGATTCCTCAAGATATTAATATTTTAATGAACAGTACAGGGCCATATTTGCCTCCGTCTCCAACCGAGGGCCAGAGGGCCAAAGGGCTCGTTTTAGCCCTGTCACAAAAAACCGTCTCCAACCGAGGGCCAAAGGGCCATAGGGCCAAACATAATTTATTATTTAAAAACTACAATTTAAATTCAAATCTAACGGCTAGGTGACGTCAACATGATGTCAGCTAGCCGTTGGTAGCTGACATCATGCTGACGTCAACTAGCCGTTGGATTTGAATTTTTTTTGCTATAAATAGGGTGGATATTGGGCTATAATTCACACAACTTTAAATTCAATCTATTTCAATTCAATCTCTTGCAATTCAATCTCTTTCAATTCAAGTTTGCAATGAATTCCAACTTTGGATCTTCATCCAATTCCAATTGGGGGTCCTCATCCAATTCCAAATTGGAAGCAAAATGGGCGCAAATGAGATGAGAAGATGAGGAGTCAGATGAAGAAGTTCAAGTAAGGCGCAACACACAAACATGGCAGCAGCCATGGCTGTGGCCATGGTGTGTCAGCCAACTGAGGAACAACCTCAATGGGGTGGCTCTGTTGCTGGTCGCTCTTACAAACCATGAAACAGAGCGATGGCGCATGCCAATCTGATGAACAACTACTTCAACCCCGACTCGGTGTACACAGAAGAGGATTTCAGATGTCGCTTCCGGATGAGGCGTCATGTCTTCGAGCGTTTACTTCGTGATGTCCAGCAGGTCAATCCATACTTTCGACAGAAGCGAGACAGAGCAGGCCGCCCTGGTTTCTCACCTCATCAGAAGGTTACTGTTGCACTCCGAATGATGGCATATGGCTCCTCAGCTGATTCGATGGATGAAGCCCATGGTATGTCTGAGTCTACATGCCTTGATACTCTTGAATAATTTTGCAACACAATTGTTCAGGTTTACAAAGACGAGTACCTTCGAGAGCCAAATCAAGAAGATCTGAATCGGCTCCTTCACAAAGCTGAAGACCATGGGTTTCCGGGCATGATAGGATCATTAGACTGCATGCATTGGGATTGGAAGAACTGTCCCACTGGATGGCAAGGAAGCTTTAGCGGAAGGTCGAGAAAGCCAACTGTTGTGTTAGAGGCAGTTGCCTCATATGACACATGGATCTGGCATGCTTTCTTTGGAGTCCCTGGATCCCAAAATGACATTACAGTTCTTGGGCGTTCACCCCTCTTCAATAACTTGACGGAAGGTAAAGCACCTCAACTTGACTACTACATCAACGGCCGTGAATACAATATGGGGTATTACTTGGCAGATGGCATCTACCCAAAGTGGGCGACACTTGTCCAAGCAATTCCAAACCCTAGGAATGATGCAGAAAAGTTGTTTACCTTACACCAAGAGGCATACCGGAAAGATGTTGAGAGAGCTTTCGGTATTCTACAAGCACGGTGGAAGATTATCAGCGAACCGGCAAGAGGGTGGAGTCGAGAAAATTTGAACTCCATCATGATGTCTTGCATCATATTACACAATATGATAGTGGAGGATGAGCGAGATGAGTATATTGATGGAGAGTCCGATGATGACCAAGAAGATCCAAATAGGTTAAGAAGGGCTCTAGCAAAAATATATGATGGGCCTAATTTGCCTTTCAATCCAAGAACTGGTAGTATCTCTATAAATGAGTATATGAGGTGCTATAGAATGATACGTTCTCGTGCCACAAATACGTACCTACAACAGGATCTTGTTGCACATCTTTGGGCCAAAAGAAGCATGGAGTAGGCTTTTAAGTTTTATGTTGTTAAATGTTTTTAAAAATGTTGTTTAAGTTTCATGTTGTTAAATGTTTTTTTATGTTGTATAATTTGTATGTTGGTTAATGTTATTTAATGTTATTTCATATTGTTTAATGTTGTTTCATGTTACTTAATTTAATTTAATGTTGTATAAATGGCCTAGGAAAAAAATAGAATTGAAAAAAAATTATGAAACAAATTTTGTGAAATAGAAGTTATAGGAAAAAAAATATGAATCAAATTTTGTAAAATAGAAGTTATAGGAAAAAAATAGAATTTAAAAAAAATATGAAACAAAATTTTGTAAAGTAGAATTGAAACAAAATATGAAACAAAATTTGATTCATATGAAAAGGAAAAAAAAGGGAAAAAAAAAGTTTAAATTCATTAAAAAAAAAAAGGCCTAATAATACAACGGCTACTAGCCGTTATATTAAAAAACATTCAAACTATTAGTGTCGGTTATAACCGACACTAATAGTAGAACTATTAAAAAAAAAAACTCTTTAATGTTGTCGGTTATAACCGACAGCAATAGGAAAACATTAAAAAAAAAATAGTCAGCCCGGGGCTGGCTGGCTGGCCGAAAGCAGCCAGCCCTCTCCGATCCCGTGGGGCCCTCCCAGATTCCAGAGCCCTCTGGCCTAGCCCTCGGTTGGAGACGGTTTTAGGGCTATTTTCGGCCCTCTGGCCCTCTGGACCCTTCGGTTCGAGATGACCTAACTTCCTATCTCTGTGCCACTAAAAGTAACCAATTCCAAACCCAAAATTGATTTCCTAGATACCTGACTCACTATTGATAAGAAGAATGAATGATGCTATTTTAAACACGAATTTCTTGTGACAAATGAAATAAGAGCACGTGTACAAAATAATATTTGTATTAATGAATTTAGGGTTATAATTTCTTTACAACTTTGAATCCTCTGATTCGATATCCGATAATGTAGAGTGTATGTGTTGTTGATCCGAGGGTCGTGATGACTTGATCTCGAATGAATGAATGCCTCAAGGTTTTGGCTTGTGGCGATGGAAGAATTGGCACGTGTAGTGGTGCTTGGTGATTCTTCTCTAGTGTGGCGAAGAATGCTAAGAGTTTTTTTAATCTTCTAAATGTTTCAGAAATTGGGGGATTTGGGTGCATCAGAGCTTTAGTGTCTGGGCATGAGAATTATTTTTTGGCCCCCTTTCTTTGTCTTGGAGCCTTGTATTTATAGACTCTCCAAGCTTTGCCATGAAAGAACCATGACTTGATTTTTGATTTTACTCCATCAATTAGTATTTGGTTTAATTAAATAAAAAATAAAATAAATCAATCTTCCCAATTTGGCATTTTCATTTGATTTTAATTTAAATTAACTAATTTGTTTAATTTAAAATAAAATCAAATAATTTCCTTTCCACCAATTGTCGTGTCCTCTTGATGACTCGTCTAGTTTTGATGAGTCACATGCCATGTGTATGATTTGTGAGACACATGGTATGTTTTCTCTTGCAAAAGAAAAACAGTGGTTTGAGCAATGTATACCTGAAAAACAGATGGTTGTAATGATGCCTACCACCACTGTGACCTGAGTGTGGCTGCTTGTTGCTAGACTTTGGTTCTTTGCTAGGGGTGATTGGTTGCTGAGATTTGGAATTGGATGTAAGACAAACATATGTGAGAGTGAGAGTATCAAATATGACTACACTGGTTTTGGGTGATGGGGTATTAACGATGATTAAGGGAGGAGTTATGGTTGTTCGTGTACTAAAGAGGATTCCTCAAGGAGTTTTGGGTGTTGGTGTATTTAATAGGGTTGGAGGAGGCGATTTGGGTGGTGTTGCCATAATTGAGTGGAGTTACTAATTCATCAAAGATGTAAGGAGAGTTGGGAATTAAAGATATAAGGAGAGTTGGGAATTAAAGATAGATGGGATATAGGAGTTAATGAAATGTGTTGACAGCAATTAGGGGGTTTTAGGTGAAAATTTGGGATTAAAATCCTCATTTTGCTATCTTCTGCAGAGACCAAAGGATTTGGAAGGGAAAGGTTCCCCCAAAATTTTCATTTCCCGCCCGCAATTGCCGCATCAATTATCCATGTGGTGTGCTCAAATAATACCGCGTGGAACATGTTAAGAATATTGAATTTTTGTGAATAAAAAAAATTGTTAAAAATTTGAAAAAAAATATTGAGATGCTCGGGATCACATTCTCTACGTCATGATCATGGTCATATGGCAATATGGATTTTTGGAACGATCGAAACGGTCGTAAATAGTGTTTTCACTAGGATTAAGAATAAATTTGTAAAAAAGAAAATAATTATTTCATAAATGGGATAAATGTGAAAAAAAAAACGCCCGTATAGACAAGGGTTACAACTTTCTTAAAGGACAGAAGTCCAAACCCTATACCCATAATGCAGAATATGTACCGGCTAATACTAACTGTTGAATTATCATTTACGTTTACGCTTTGATTGGGCATCGCCGTAAAGGTTTTTCGGTAATTCTTTTTTCAAAGTATCATCTTTTAGTGGAATCCAAAAGGAGAAAGGTTTGAATCGTTGACATCGTATTCGGAATGTTGTAGTTTGTTCAAATATTACTCGATGTTTACTAAGTTTTAGAAATGTTGAATCTGGCCCCAACATAGTTGGGCTGAGCTAGATAAGCAGGCTTAATCTTGAGTTGAATGTGGCTCCAACATTTTTACAAAAAGGTTGAATGGGTTTAAAGCTTTAACGATCTATGGGTTGCATATGTCCTAAAGAGTGAAGCAAAATAGGAAAAGAGACCCAAAATAAAGTGCGAGACAATAGGAGTCGGCGGTCTAGCCGGCGATAAGACCGTCACCAGAAATCCCTAATCTCTCTCTCCGTTTTTCTTAATTATAATTTCTTATTTATTAAATTAAATATTATTATGGGAAGTGCAAAAACAGACGGGTACTACTACTTTCAAATCAGAAAGAAGAATCTCTAAATTTGTTTCAGATTCCCTCCTCCTAACTGGCTTTCCTAAAAGGTACAACGAAACCGTAATTAAAGTCTCCTCTCTTCCTCGGTCTATATATGCGTATACATGTATGTCTTTGTTGAGTTTGATTATGGTTTGGGGGTATGTTTGTGTTGCTGTTTGGGTGCACAGCCGATGGATAGGTTTCAGAGGGTGGAGAAGCCCAAGGCGGAGGCTGCGCCGATAAACGAGAATGAGATTCGTATAACAGCTCAAGGCAGAATGAGGAATTATATTACTTACGCCACCACTCTCCTCCATGTCCTTCCTCCTCCTCCTCCTCCTTTTTTCTCCATTTCATTTTTTGCGTTTTGTTTCGTTTCCTTTTTTGGTTTGTTAATATCGTTCTAGGGTTATGGGAAATTGATTGATATCTGATATCTAATGACATAACAACTATTTTACGATGGTATCATGATACTCAAAGGAGAAATCATAACACTTTTTAGTCTCTCGCACACCCCATCGTTTCTGTTTAATTAACCAATTCGATGACTAGAAATAAACACGGGTGTTGTGAAACTATAATGGGCCTGTGAAAATCACCTATACAACACTAACCACTAACTAGTACAGTCTATTTGGTATTTATAGGTGTGAGGTGTTATGTTTAACTCACATCAATTATTATGACTGACGCATTGTGCTCAATCCCCCACCCCTTCAGTAAAAATATATCATTGTATTAAAAAAATGACACAATGCTAATAATCTTACTGGGTTCATTTATTCATCCCACAAGCTACCAAATTAATTCACATTTTCTTTTTCTATATACATATTAGTTACTATTTTATTTTGGGATTTCATATCAGGTAGAAGTTGCAACTTCCAGTCCCTTGCCTTTTACTTTTGTTCCCTTAGTGTTATCTTTCTTTGTCTTTGTTTATCCTTAGCTCTTATTATTATTATTATTATTACCTTTTTCTATTTGTGCATTAAATCCTTTTTTCTCTGAGGCTTTACCTTGAAATGATTGTATCCTATGTAGGAGAAAGGATCTAATGAAATTGTTCTCAAGGCAATGGGCAGAGCTATCAGTAAAACTGTTATGATTGCTGAGCTAATAAAGGTGAGCGACTTGTGACCTCTACGTAGGGCATATGCATGTGCTTCGTGTGTCTGAGTGTTTGGTATAAACTTATTTTCTGATAAAGCTTTTCTGCTCCCAGAGAAGGATTGTTGGTCTTCATCAGAATACTTCTATTGGATCAACTGATATTACTGACGTGTACGAGCCCCTGGAAGAAGGCCTGCTTCCGTATGAAACCATATTCTTCTATGCTAAACAATGAATATGCACATGTGATTTTTTTCTTGTTTCACTTCATAGTGGCATAATTTGCTTTGTTTCTGCTGCAGTGTAGAGAGTACTCGGCATGTTTCAATGATCACTATTAGCTTGTCGAAGAAGGAGCTTGATACATCCTCTACAGGGTAAATCATTTAGAACTTGGTTTCTGTTTGGATGCTGTAGTGACATTCTATCTCTGGTGTATCATGATCATTTTAGTTTTTATTACTATGGTTTTCTGAACTGGTATACAAAATGAATAGATGAACTATGCTGCCTCGGTCAGGATTCTATAAGTTGTGAAAAGCAGTATAAATTTGGTACTTTTATGGTATTTCAACCGTACATAGTTGCTGGTTCCTAGAATGCCCATTATATTAGGGAAATTAGCTATTCTAGAAATATTACAATCTGTTATGCTCAATTAGAGAGATTGATACTGATATAGACATGAGTGACAGGCGCTGAACGAGTGAATTGTCTAAAGCACCACTGTGAGATATGGTATTTAGATAGTGTAGATATTGATGATATAACAATTAGATAGTGTAGGTATTATTGATACAATCAGTATGTAATGGGATACATAAATTAGATAGTGTGGATAAGATATCCGTAGTGTTTCATGTGACCTATGAATATATAAATTACCGGTATGCGCTAGATATATTATCTATATGTTCATGATATTGTGGATATTGATGATGATAGCAGTAGGTAATTGTCATTATGGGATTACTATGGTCGTCTATATACATTGGACATACTGTCAATATGTTCACAATATTGTTCATATTAAGCTCTCCTCTGTCTACATCAAGGCTCATCGGCACCTTAATTGGATATCTGTTAGTTTCAGCAACTACGTAAACAAAGGCTCATGATTCCAGAAAACACAAATAATGAAAATAATTGCCGAGATGCTTCAGTTTTGGCTCCATGCTCCAACAAACCAAAATAAAAACTTTACTCATATTGACTCAAGGCCTGATGCTTCAGTTTGGTTCCCAAATAATAAACATACATGTCTAGCTTCCATTTTCGGGGACAACTTGATAAGGCTTCAGAGCAAGGGGACATCATTAGATATGAAACGGAAAATGCAAAAGATTT